CCGGAGTTGCTCCCCAGTCTTCCCAGTCCAGTCTTTATGTTCTTAACCGATAGCATGCTGTGTGTTTGTGTTTGTGTGTGTGTTTGTGTGGACAGAAAATGTATAAATCCAGAGCAAAGGATCTGCATAGGAGCGGCTGCAATGAGCTCCTCCGGCCCGACATCCTCACGGCCCTTTACCAGTCCACCGCGGGCAGTAAGGTAAACAGCCAATGAGCAAAGACCCCGACTCTGTCCAAAAAAGGCCTCGTCATCTCAAATAACCACCTTAAAGATCATTTATCCGCTCAGCAGATTCACCGAGAGTGGTTTTAACTATCACGCCATCCATCCATTGTCTCTTTCATGCTCTCATTTCTCCATCATTTATCATAATAATTCATCAAACTCATCATAAAAAGGAGGATTAAAAATCCTGCAGTTTTAGTGTCTTGATCTCATGTTTTTTGAGGATTTTTGTTAGCCTAAAGGTTCTTTTGGTCGCGCTAAGGCTCCAGATAACAACATTTTTTTAGAGTTATTCATCCTTTAATATGTTCTCCTTTGTAAAAAGTTGAATTGAAGATGTTTAATGCATCAGTTCCACCTTAAATCCGGAGATAGGAGGGACTGCTGGTCACCAGGACCGCGGCAGGCTTTGACCAGTGGTGGTAACACGCCGGCTTCGTTTCCATCTGCAAGATAACGTCTGTGTGTGTGTTTGTGTGCACGCTTTTTCACCGCCTCCTGCATGTCATCCTACACACACACACACACACACACACACACACACACACACACACACAGACACACACACACTCAGACATACACACTATGCTATGCGTGGACAGGGACAGATTGCATTGGACTTTGCTTAGACATTATCTGGGAAATATCAAAGAAAAAGACTAAAAACAACTGATTGAAAACAGTAAATTATCTGGCTTTTATTAATTAAAGTCAATTATCTGGCCTTTATGGCATTTTTTTTTCTTCTAATCCCTCATTAGGTCATTTTTATCTTATTCTTAATCCATTTTTTAATCTAATTTTTATCTTATTAATGGTAAAAGTTAGAGGCAAGTCATAGAAAAACATATTCAATAGATAGATAGATAGATAGATAGATAGATAGATAGATAGATAGATA